GGATTATTCCCAGCTCTGCTCCCTGCTGTCACAGACGTAAATTGCTGGTGGCAGCTGGGGAGAGGGGAGCGAAGAGGGTTTGCCTTCGTCGTGGGGTGGATCTTTGCAAGTCCTGCCGGCGGGACTCAGGGTCTGTCTGCTCCTTTTGCAGCCAACCTCTCTGCAGCCACGAAAAGCAAAACCAGTGAAGACATCGCACAGTCATCCAAGTATAGCCCTGCCTACTCCCCAGACCCGTACTACCACTCCGAGTCGGAGTACTGGTCCTTCCAAGGCTCTCCCAAAGGTAACAGCCCCCCACTGGGCTGGGGGAAAGGGAAACACATTCCTGCCACCAAACCCAGCCATTCCTTGGGAGGAATCCCCTGCCTGGGTTGGGTCTGGACCGGAAGGTGGGATTGGGCCAATCTACTTGCCAAAGTGACCCCAAAATCCTAGCAACCCTTGGGACTTAGCTGTCCCCATGCAGCTGGGAACTGTTTCCTCCCTACCTGCTTCCACCTTTGTCCCCATCTGACCCCCCACATGTCTTCTTGCAGCCCCCCGGGCCCGGAGGTTCTCATCGGGAGGCGAGGAGGATGGGTATGACCGGGGCATGCACAAGGTGAGTGATCTCCCTGCCCGCAGACTGGCAGCGGAGAGCCAGCAGCAAGCCGCCCCCATGGTGGTTGGCTCTGGGGAGGAGGCCCAGCCCAGCTCTGCCACCCAAGGGGGGGCCACCACCGTCCCTGCTGCCCTCTGCCATCTCCCCCCCTTGGTCACCTCTGGGAGTGAGGTGAAGGGAGTCTGAAGGAGGGGGAGCAACCCCCTTGCTGAGGCACCCCACCCCAGCACCTCGTCCCCAGGGACAGGGGAGCAGATGGCAGATACCGTGCCCTGCCATAACGCGCCAGTGGTCAGGGAGGGCTGTGCAGGGGAAGGAAGGGTGCAAAGCGGCTTTCCCCCCCGGCCCAGATCCAGAGCGGCATCGGCAGGCTGATCCTCCGGGAGGAGATGAAGGCTCGGTCCAACTCCTACGCAGACCCCTGGACGCCGCCTCGCAGCTCAGCCAGCAGCAGAGAAGCCCTGCACACGGCTGGCTACGAGGGCTCCCTCAACGGCTGTAAGGACAGCCTTGTCCATCTGTCCGTGGCCCCAGCCCCTGTGGGAAGTTTGCTGGATTGGAGAGGGAAGAACAGGGGTCTGGGAAGGGGTGGCGGGAGAGGTGTTGGGCACCAGAGCTGGGCTTGGGAGGCTCCTTTCCCCTCGGGAGGGCTCCATCCGTTCCCTGTGCCCCAGCTGGGATGGGGCATTGCCCAGCAGGTGTTTGCTGTCTGTCCAGCCAGCCTAGTGAAGTGCTTCACCGGGTGGTCGAAGGTTCCCTTGGAAATCTCGCAGCAGAGTCATGCTGGGTTTCCTCTGACCTGTTTTGGGCTCCCTGCGAGTGTTCCTCCTCCTTAACCGCACATCTGGGACCTCTTGGCACCCCAGGCCTGCCGGCTGGCTCCAAGGTTGCCTTCCTTGCTTGCAGTGCTCTCACTGTGCAGCACCCAGGGCAACGAGCCCCTCTTCCCTTGGGGCTGCAGGGGGTCCCAGGGGTGTTTGGGGAGCCTGACAGCACAGGTGCCCCTGCCTGCTCTGTGCTCTCCTCCCTCATGGCACATCTGGCCTCATGGAGCTGGGGCTGTTTGGGGATTCTTAGGTAGCCCCTCAGCCCCACTGGGCTCCCGGGAGCCCCGAGGAGGACCCGTGGGGCTGGCAGCTGGGCAGCTCTGCGTGGCGTGGGGTGCTCGGTGCTCCCTGACACCCGGCTCTGCTCTCCTTGCAGCTCCCCGGACACACTACCTGGCAGACAGCGGTGAGTGTGTGAGCCCCCAGCCCCCTGCAGCCAGTCCCCTGTGGCTGTGATGTCCAGAGCCTGAGCTGGAGGAGGTGGCTGGGAGCAGGGATGGGAAGAAGGGGAGAGAAGGAGCCCTTGGAAGACTGGGCCAAGGTGGAGCTGAAGCAGGGCAGAGCTGGTGACAGTACCAGGAGAGGATGGGTCAGAGAAACTGAGAGAGGAGATTGTGTTGAGCTGAAGGATGAGGTGGGAGGGCTGTCATGGGAAAGGGAATTTTGGGGAGAGGGATTTCAGCACAGGAGGAAGCCAGGCTGGAAATGAGTTGGAGCTGGAAGGAGACAGAGCTGGGTGAATTTGGAGCTGAGTAGGGACGTGGGAGCACGGGTGGGTTGGCCCAGGGGTCCTCTCCCAGGCTGTGGAGCTCACCCCTGCTTTTTTCACTTACACACCTTCGTTGCTATTTTGCAGATCCCCTCATTTCGAAGTCGGCCTCCCTTCCTGCCTACAGGAGGAATGGGCTGCACAGGGTAAGTGCCTCCTGCCTGCACTCTGCCACTGCCAGGCATCTCTGCACCCTTCATCATTCTCCTCTGATTCCTCAAAGCCCCCAGTGCTTCCCTTTCAGGACTAGGGTATCCTGCTCCCCCCCTCTCTGCACCCCAGCTGTCACTGCTGGTCTGTGCCGATCCAAAATGACCCTTACTGGAGACGAAAGTGCCCTGTCCAGGCACTGCAGGACAGAGGTGCCTGCCCCAAACGTCCCGCAGGGCATGTTTCAGAAGGATGCTGGTGTTGCTTCCCAGCACAAGAGCTTTGCTTTATGCCCTGGGGCAGCGATTGCTGGGGGTCGGGAGACCTGGTCCTGCCTCTGTGTGTCCTGGGCTTGTCACTTCACGTCCTCGTGCCTCAGTTTCCCCACTGCCAGGTGTGGGGAATGGGTCCTGCTTTGGGGTGTGTGGGTGCCTTCCCCCCCTGGGGACATGGGAGTCGCTGTGCTGAGCATCTGGAGGGGACCCCCTCTCACTCCTCCTTCCCTGTATCCCTCCTGCAGCCTCCCAGTGCCGAGCTTTTCCACTATGACAGCACGAACGCCGTCAACTGGGGGATGCGAGGTAAGGCACCGCGGGGCTGGGGAACAGTGCAGGCAGGGGACCATGTAGGGACGGAGCCAGATGCCGTGGCGCTGCCTGCCCCATGGCGGGCAGCTCTGGAAAATGAGGTCTGGGCCAGAGGGAGAAGAGAGGAGACGGGCAGGGGTCCCCACCGCCCTGGAGGGAGGATCCTGGCAGCAGAGGGGTCAGTGTGACTCATGTCTCTCTTGTCTTTTCTCTCTCTCCACAGAGTACAAGGTAAGATGCTCCAGCTCCAAGGAGCAGCTCCCAGCTGAGGTGTGAGTACCACCCAGAGGGAGTCCCGGAGACATGTCCGTGTGTCCCCAGGCCCTTCAGGAGGAAGCTTTGCCTTCTGTCTGCAATGCCCTACCTTCATTCCCATCCATCCTCCACCTGACAGCCCCGACCCGGGACTCCTTCCCCTCCTGCCAGGGTCCCAAGCACTTGGCCGAGCAGAAGTGTCTCCTGGGTGAGGAACAGAGAAGGGTGGTTTTCCTGATGGTTCCCTACTCACACTTGTCCCTGGGTCAGTCCTGGTTTTGCAGAGTAAACAGGCTATTCCAGAGCTACCAAGGTGATTCAAGGTGGATTAGGGTTACCCTGAGAGGAAGTCCCTCCTCTGCCTTGTCCCATCCAAGCCCTGGAGGCAGCTAAACACAGCAGGAAGAGGCTTTGCCCACAGCCTCATTCCCAGGTGTGCCCCAGCTGTCCTCTTCTGGCTCCAGAGCTACCCCATCATCTTCCTGTCCCTGTGCAGATATACCCCTATGAGCTGCTCCTGGTGAAGACGAGGGGGAGGAACCAGCTGCCCAAAGATGTGGACAGGACTCGGTTAGAGGTGAGGAAAGCCTTTTCCACCAGGGACAATCCCCTCAGGGCTCAGAGAGACCCAATCCCATGGGGTGTCCCCTTAGCCCTGGCAGGCAGCGTGGGGCTGCGAGGGGCTCGTGCACATGTGAGGAGTGTCTGCATGGCTCCCCAGGAGCTGCCAGCACAGTCACGGTGGTCTTGCTGCTCCACTGACTGGGCAGAGCATGTTCCCATGCCCACAGCACAAGTGCTTTTGGCAGGAGCTGGAGGGAACCGAGTGAGCACTGCGGGGGGTTGTAGCAGGGGATGCCATCAGACCCCTTTGCATGCCCTCCCACCCCGCTGCAGCCAGACAGCCTATACAGAAGCCGTTGGCCCTGGGTGGTGGCCACAGTCCCAGCCCTGGCCCAGCATCTTGTCTCTCCCCAGCGTCACCTCTCCCAGGAGGAATTCTACCAGATCTTCGGCATGACCATCGCCGAGTTCGACCGCCTGGCCCTGTGGAAGAGGAACGAGCTGAAGAAGCAGGCCCGGCTGTTTTAAATGCAGTGCACTATAAATATATACATACCTATAAATATATACATAGAAAGATCTCTATATTGCAGCTCTGTATGATTCTCAGTGCTGTACATAGCAGAGGCACCCTCTGCACCCCTGAGAGTGAATTGGAGTCTTGTAGATCATTCTATGCTGTGTTTCCCTTTCTTTTCCAGCCCTGTTTCTTGGGTTCTCCCAAGGGCTAAAGCCATGTGGGCTCCAAAGCACTTGGTGCCCATCACTGCTGCCCCACAGGGACGCAACGGGGAGGATTTTCCTGCTGCAGCCGTGGCATCCGGGGTGGGGGGAGAGCAGGGTTCTGGGATGGGGGTGTCCCGTCCTGCTCTGCTCCGCTGGTCTGTGTATTTATTGATGAGTTGGAAAAGGCCCTGGGTGCAGTCGCAGGAACGCGGGATCCTGCCATGGTCTCCGTCATGCCCTCCCTACCTTTAACATCGCCGTGTACCAGGGGCACCTTCAGCCTCACCCTCAGGATCAGAAATACCGAGCTTGGGGCAGGGGCCAAGGAGAAGTGGTGGGGACCCCATGGGGAGCAGGGTGCACCCCCACGGGTCAAGGTGC